TGTCGCTGGAGTGCCTGATAGGACGTCTCATCGACACCAAATGCGAGGAGAATCCTACCAGGCTCCTCCCTGCGAAAGAACGTCCTCCATAGACCATAGGATTTTGCCTCTGGAGGCGCTTCAAAATGGTGTCCGTGTCATCCGGGAGCCCGTACAACACAGCCATCACCTTGGTTACCCTCGGGACGTGCCTCTGAACTTTCAGCAACGCGCCATCCCAGGGCCGGATAAGAGGGACGGTCCTCTCCAACCAGTCCAAGGTCCACTGGTCCTCGCATTCGGCCACGATGGCACCCTGCGGATTCCAGCGGAACCCTGCCAGCCGAGGAAAGGGCCCTCCCTCCATCTGGTCTACGACTGCATTCAATGCAGCCATAATGCACCTCGACTGAGCCTCAGAGATGTCCACCTCCGGGTATGAAACCGGAACGACGGCCACCCTAAGCCCTGCCGCAGCGACTTGCCCATAAGTTCGTGGTGCACCCTTGGGTGCATCAGAACCTCTAGGCTTCTTCTCAGGCTGCCTTGAGCCAGACCCTGGAGTGCTTCCCTCTGATCTGAGACGCTTAGTCCCTGACGTCGGGTTGCCCCCCTGAGCCAACGACCCAGACGCAGCCTTAGGCTTTGGCGCAGAGCCCGCTTGACCCGAGGTTTTACCCTCGAGCCGGCGCTTCCTGGCCATCGCCTTCTGTGCGCCAGTCCTATTCTTCTTGCGAATAGGAGCTGACCCACCACCAGGTCCTTGGGTAAGGCCCTGCGTTGGAGCCGTCCCCTCTTTCGAGGAGCCTGCCCCGTTACCGGACCCCTTTTGAGGGCCCGGCTTGTTGGTCCCCTCTGACGAGGAGCCCAGAAAGGTTTTGTGTGAAGATTCCATACAATTCCCACGAGTAGTGCGGAAATGCGGTCTCACCTGGGCAGAGCCGCTTGCCCAGGGCTTGGCTGCCAGCCCCTTCCCGAAGGAAAGGAGCCACCACTCGGAGGTCGCCCGGTATCCGAGGGGCACCGTTATCGACACTGCACCCCAGTGCCACGCAGTCCTCGGCACGGTCGCTAACACCTTGACTTGGGAGGTTGGTCCGCGGCGACGACCTTCGTCGCTACCAGTCTGGGTTTTAGCCCCGACGAGCCACTTATAATCGTCACTACCCACACCGAAGCACGAGTCACGTACGATCATTCAGGTGTCTGTATGGGCTTTCCCCTATCCGCCACCCGGGGACGCGCCCGATGGGTGCCTAACCACACGGGGGGTGGTTGATGTACTAGAATAACGGATTACATCTCGGTAAGTAATGGAAGCAATTTCTATTGACCGGGATTATTAGGTTTAAAAGTGAAAGAAATATATTCCAAAAATGTTTTCTTATGATTTACAAGTATCCAAATAAAAAAGAAATGTTTTTCAAATTTTCCGAAAAACCGTAGGTGAAACAGGTTATAAAAATGTTTTTTCACTACTAGCGTCTGATGACATGATTATTAACCTTTTTTCCACTTATAAAGTAGGCTTTCTCGGCATTTGTTCAAAGTGGTTAATAATGTGGACATTATTAACTAGTAGCCAATAATGAGAACAGTCACGCTGTCACTTTTAGAAAACACAACCCGAAATTTCGCTCAATAAACGTTTAGACAAGTTCTCTAAAATGAATAATTGCCACCATTCGCAATTTCCAGAGAAATTACATACCTAAAATTATCACATTTTGAACAAATTCGAACGAAATTACTCTTTGAAAATATCTCAATGACAGAACAAAATACGGCCTGTTTGACTACTTACTTAATTGACATGTTAAATTAATAAACAAAAAATTCTGTCCAACCGTTCACTTTCTTATCAATATAATATGTTAATTTAGAGGACTTCAAGTGCTAGTAGTGAAAAAAATAGTATATATACCACGGTAGAGAAGTCTATTATTGCCTTCGCACCTTACACCCCTCGGCGCAAGCGCCTCGAGATGTAATCTTGGTGCTCAGGCAATAATACTGTACTTCTCTACCTTGATATATAATGTACTATTATTCGTAACTACCAAAGTTATGCCGTTCGTAGGTAGGGAAAAAAGCTAAATCTTGGCTTTTTTTATAATACTTCCTTGAATTTTTGTTGTTTTTCTAAGTTTTGTCGTTTCCAAAATGCTTTCCGCTCATTTTTTAGAAACTTTACGAAAACACTCCGCTAATAAATGAGTACAATATCCTGCGCTAAGGCGTAATGACGTAACGGCGTAACGGAATTGACGACACGGTTAGGTGATTTTAACAGTACCTATTCTATGTGTAATATGCCAAAAACAATCCAGAGAGAAAACGTCAGTGCTTCAAGAGACAACATTTAACTCTGTAACGTTCTTATTCTTGCATAATACCTTCTTCATAGTATTATATTCTAAACAGTTTCGACTGCCAAGTGTTACGTTTTAATTTAGAAAAATCAAAGAATACTTGGGAAGCATGTTTTAATATATTTGCCCTCAAATTACGCCGCCAAACCAACTTCTGCCTCTTGGTTCCATAGTTAAAGTTTATAGGAGACGAGTCCCCACTTCCGCAGTTAAGCCCTTCAGTTGTGTAATATCCAGAATGATATTCGCAATTCTCATATTATGGCTCCAGGTCATCGAAATGGGAAATGTGTGGCCAGTGTAGTAAAAATACGGCGAAAAGAACGACTTTTTCACTGTTTTTTGGACTTTCCAGGCGCCATCTTGATATTAGGCCCCAGGCATATGGCGCTGCTGGAGGTCCCCACATACTTAAATGTTAACTTCGCCTTCCCGCCCTTCGCGACTCTAACGTGGACCCCTCCTGAAACGCGAAAAAGAAGGGGGTTGAGGGAAGAGGGGAGGGGAGAGAACGTGGACGTGACCTAGACGTGTCGCCCCTCGGCGGGGGGCCGGGCAGGCCCCCGGCCGCTCGCGAAATTTGGCGCGCTGCCATCGTGGCGTTTTTGAGATTTCGAGAAAAACGCGAATTTGATAGCTCCTTCCTTTATTTATGTGCAACAAGGGATGAAACTACGTACCTGCGTCCGAATGCCCGCATCCCGATGTCCGCGTCCCAATGTCTGCGTCCTAATGTCCGCGTCCTTATGTCCGCGTCCTAATGTCTGCGTCCAAATGTCCGCGTCCGAATGTCTGCGCCCTAATGTCTGGCGGCCTAATGCCCGGTCCCGATAAAAATACGTCGCACCATTGTTGTATATGGAACCGCCTTCACACAAAACCGCTTGCCCTGGAAACCCATATTTTTAAAATCTTTTTTATTATACCTGAGTCACAATCTCCGTTTTAAACACCCAAATGCGTGCGAAAAAGGGCCTTTAAAACACACGTGCTTTAAAGTTGCTAAGTAACGATACTTCAAGTATGACTTTTGAAACTGTCATCTGGATGAAATAAAAAATCCTCTTAGGTCGCTTTCTGTAAATGCAGAACATTTCTTTGGCTTTTGTACCTATCCTTTGGTTAAAGGTTTCACAAACGAGCGTAATTTAGGGTATGCTTCCAAATCTGTTCCACTTTTTAATCGCAGCATTGCTTCCAAAGTTTTGAATGAATGCACTGTTGTGCAACCCCACTGAGTTGCACTGCGAATTTTTTTGTGTAGGACTTATGGCGAAATAATTGAAAGAATGAAGTTCGGATTGAAGTTACGTTTTATTTGGTACACATTCATTAGGTAATATCTTCCACACACAGGTTACATGCAGGTTACAAGTTTTACGTTTTTACCATTTCGAAGTTTAAGATGGACTGCCTTTAACCATTGAATAAAAACACTATTTTATTTAGTGAATTAATAACATAATCAATTACATAATTAGTTTGAGTTAATTTTTTTATTCAATGCTTTAACATAATCACGTTACCTTTAGTTTGAATTAATGGAAAGTAGTTTCAATAAAATAATTATAGTCATTTGTAAAATGGTATAGTGTGATTAGATAGGACAGTCCTCTATCCTACTTTCTAGTATAATTCCAGAAAATGCTGAAAGTCTTATCTTAGCTGAAACAGCTTCGTAACAATATACATCACTAGTTATCAATGAAATCAAATATTAAGTTAGATATCAAAGCGATTAAATGTGAAGATTTCTAGGGAAATCTAGTGCATTAAAGGCACTTCCCATAGTCAACTATATGCAGGTGCGATAGGTGGATAAACCGTGTGAAGCGCGGTTTATCACAGCACCAAAGTATAGAAGATTTAAATACCTTTGACATTTCCTTCATATATGCTAGCATTATGGATGCATTTAAGACTGTATTCGTAAGTAACTTCCTATTCATCCATGGAAACAACTTTTCATATTCTTTATAATAGGCTTTACTGGAGTTGGATTTTACACCTACCAACGTTTGTTTAGATTTTACAATAATCGATTTAATGGACGGTGTATTCTCTTTTACAACGGAAATCGTTTAATTCACAAAGACGATGATTTTTATAAGCAAACGTCAAGTGACATTTCCATGGCAATCGTGAAATTACGAACACCCAGCCCACTTAATTAGACATGTATTCGAGTATAACGTCAATATGACTTCATTGTATTTCCTATTTTTAAATTATACTGCAGGTATAATAAAAAATACTATAAGATATACACGTGTATAATTGATCTTTAAAGCACTTGCAACGTTCAAGGCACTCCGCTTTGCGTCGTGCCCTTAAACTCGTTGCGCGTGCTTTAAAGACTTGATTATACACTTGTATCTTAATATACTATTAACTCGCTCTACCTCGAAAAGTATTGGGTCTAGCATAAAAGGCTCTTTATAAACGTTATAGACCAAACATCAGAGAACATGTTGGTTTTTTTTAGAATTAGTGATTGGATAATTAGTTTAAGAGAAAATTAAATAAATCGAACGGCATGTCGCGCCGGACGGCGACGAGCGCAGAGTTGCGAGGACGGACGAGATTCGTATACCTTTGTCAACCGAAAATTGACTCTAGTGATGTCGAAGTTGTTAGGGTCGATTTTACCTTGAGACGCTGCTGTTGTGTTGTAGACTCGAGTGCATTTTTAGCCCGAATCCACGGAATTGAGATTAGAAGTGATACATGATAAAGTTTGTGTGTGTTAATCATAATTCATATTATTAAAAGTGTGATAAGTAACTTACTGGTAAGTTAACGATATTTAGTACATACTTAGTGAGTGTATTACAGAATACAGTCTAGAAATGGATTTAATGAACATCAGCAGCTCTGACTGAATTTGAGTCAAAAATCAAATTAAGGTGTGTTTCTTTTCGTATAACTGATGCTGGACAAGATGTTTTTATTCAAAATTTGTGTCTTATTTGTTTGGAAGGAGGAAAGCTGGTTAATGGGTGCTGAAAATTGTTTCCTTCCTCATTTTTCTAAGCATGTATGTAAGCGATGTAACAAACACCTACTTCTATAGTGTACTTTTTTGTTGTCAGAAAGCAAGATATCCATCACTTTTCGTAGAAAAACAAATTTTTGAAACATTAATTTGCTATTTTGCCAATAATAAACATAAAATACTATACCGAGTACCGATGTTGTGCCAATATGTACACTGGAAATCAGGAATCTGTAGCCGTGCGTCATTGATTTGTGAATCAATTTCAGACAAGTTCTTATCGAATTAGGACACTTGGTAGATGTTACAATGTTTTAGCATATGTCTGAAATCAATGACGCATAGAGCCACAGACTCCTGATGTGACGTGTACTCTGAAAAATTAAAGACAATTAAATCAATTAATGGCATGATAGCACACCACGCGAGAAGTAACCCTCTTGAGATAGGCATATCTTCTTATTCCAACAATAGGTACCTATAACCGATAATAATTGAACGGAGGTGACAATTATCTGATAACTATAGATTTCACTATTTGAGTGCCTAATCTAACCACTATTTTGATGAAATTATTTCCAAATTATCACAAAAATGGGGCCGTCGTGGTTAAATGTGTTATCATTGTTCAGTCTTTGGTTCGGACTTTTGGTCGGTTATGGTAAGTTGAAAAACCATTTGTTTTGACCTTTAATTTCAGTACCACGAAGACACACTTAGTCATAGACCATAAGTGCTCCTATACCGTCCAATATTTATCCTCATTCGTTTCGAATGTTTAATATTACCTCACTAGACGTGGTCTTGTGTTAATCTATATTTGTTACCAGAGTCTACAATTACCTACTGAATTTTTTGTAGGCCTTTGTGGACGAATAATAGGGGGTCGACCTGCTCAAGTAAATGAATTTCCTTATCAGGTAAATTAAAGGAAGATGAAACAACATATTAATGCTTATATCAACAGGTTACCATAAAACATTCCTATAACGACGTCCATCGGTGTGGTGGTACGATTATAACATCAAAGTTCATTCTGACGGCCGCTCATTGTTTGATGTACGTATGGGGAGGACTATACCCTCCTATGATAATTAGCGTCGTTGCGGGCCAAATTGATCATGAAATTAGAAATGATAGCATAGTTAGGAATGCGTCGCGTCTTATACTACACGAAGACTTTGTTCTGCAAACCTACTTTAACGATATTGCCCTGATTGAGGTACGTAGGTCTAATTTAGAGTAGCCGCTGAAATTTTTTTATTATTTTCTTATGTAGTTAAATGAAGAACTTCCAATAGACCATAAAAGAGTATCCACTATTCCACTGAATGCAAATTCTCTTTCCAGTGGCAAATGTACTGTATCTGGATGGGGTGTTATAGTAGATGTGAGTATACCTATAGGTACATCAGAAGCTAACAAATAACTTTTTTCTGAAACTACTTTAGAAACAACTACTTTCGTCTCTAAAAAGGGTGAAAATGAAATGTGATTTTCTCTCTAGTGAGGAAAGTAAAAAACAATTGCTGTTTTAATCTTAATAATGGTATCTAGATTGCTAGGTATGTGTCAAACATCATTATTGCATACGATAATTTTTCAATTTTGATTGTAGTTTCAGAAAAAAATATGTGTAAAACTTGAGAAGAAATTACCTACATACATTTACATACCTACAAGTCAGAAATTTTTAGTTTTCCCATGACAGTGGCAGTACTTTACCTGACTCCTTTCCCCGCCGCCTGTTACATTGGTATTGTTGGCTTCTGTCATCACTGACACATATTACTCAAAAGTTCTATATTCCAATTGAAATTTTATATTAAAAAAGACGATTTCATGTAATACACAGTTATTTACATAGTCGGGAAGTCAGGAAAATAACACATTACTGGAGAGGAAATATGAGGCCGAGTACTTTAATTTCCCAGTCAAGTAGTGTTATTTTACTGAAGAGTGTTGTATGAAATTTTACCCGAAATCGTATTTTAATATAAAATTTCAATCTTCATTATAGAACATTAAATTTGATTAAAATCAATCTGTCAGTGCTGACAGGAGCCATTATAGACATTTAACAATGTTACAGGTGCGGCCGGTAAGGTGACAGGCGGCAGGAAAAGTAGTCTGGTCTGCCTCTGTCATAGAAACTAAACTTTCCTGACATAAAGTAGACATGAAAATGAAGGTTTCATAAAGATTTTATTTAATAAAAAACTCGTCAATAAAATGACACAAGAATTAAAAGGGGCTGAGCCGAGTACATTTCCGCGCCAGTAATGTGTCATGGTCTGATGGTCCTGACTATTACTTTATACTTATTGTAGGGATCAACCCAGGTTAGCAAGACATTAATGGTTGCAAGTGTCGATATAGTAGAATTCACACAGTGTCAAAAAATGTACTCCTCCTACGAAGGAGTGTTACGAGTTTTAGATGGTATGATGTGTGCCGGTCACGTTAATGGAGAAACCGATTCGTGTGCGGTAAGGTGACATGGTATGGACGAGTCCGTTAAGACTAATAACGTTTTAGGGGGACTCAGGGGGTCCGATGGTGTGCGATGGTCTCCTCACAGGTATTGTTTGTGCAGGTGGGAACTGCGGAAGTTCACGCTTTCCGGGCGTATACGTCGATGTTTCTCAATACATGTCATGGGTCCAGGAAAAAGTGTTTGGCCCTTCTACAACGGAAAGTGAACTTACGACGACGAGAAGTTTAACGTCTTCAAGTCAAGGGGTTTGGTCATCAGTTACCTCTTCCGGTTTTGAATATAGCACAGCATTATCAACAATTGCGACGAATGGTTCTGATCCAACACATTGGACACATTTTCCAAGCACTACCACCAAAAGAGTTCCACACTTAAATAAACAAAATACGGGAAATGGTGCAAGCTGTAATTCAAGCGTATTTCACATTTATTACTACTTATTATTTATGTTATTCGTCTATTTTTGTAATTAATTATATCAATATCGTCAGTAGGTATATAGACTTAAGATTTTTGCAACAAAAGCATAATCTCTCGATCATTAACCTAGAAAATTCAAAATGGTGTATATAACCAAACTGATATAACAACTATCAAAGCAACAAATTATTTATTTATTAAACTTTCTTATGATGTTGATCAATTGTATTCGTTTATTGTTAGGGTACGGTTTTCTGTTATTACGCACCTATGGCGTCAGCTGCCCTCAGCCCTGCCACGGCTTCCAAAATTTTGCTATACAGGGTGTTTTTTTGGGAGCTTTAGTTAAACGTTTCTGGGAAAGTAAAAAAGGTAGGTTTTTGAAAATTTGTACCTAGGGGTTACTCTGAAGGCCCAATCGATGTAAAATATTTTCAAAATGGTGGCACTTCCGGAAATACCGGAAGTGGCTAGTAAGTTCATTATTTTAAATGGAAACCCCTATTTTTTTATTGCATTTTTGGATTCTACGTGAAATTTCAGTTCTTTTGATACCCCCATATCAATATCTACAATTTATGGTTTTTCAGATATTTTGACTTTAAGGGAAAAAATGGTGGGTGCAGACGGTACCTTGAAAATTGATTACTTAAAAACGGTTGTAGTTATGGCAACCCATTTTTGCCAGTGCATAGAGAAAGAATAGGGCTTTCTTTTAGTGTACTTTAAAAAAAGTTAAGTTGCGCAAGACCGCACCTATGGAGATCCAAATTTAAGAAATTTCAAACAATAAAAAGTCAGTTTTTTTAAATGAAATGCCTATTTTCTTACTACTCAATTTGATAGAGAATCAAAATTGGCATATTTTGATATTACATGTTCCTATACCTATCTTTAACAATTTCTGACTTATTTCCATTTCATTGAATTGATAACATTTTTTTTAATTTTCTTTTTAGTTGTCGGCCATGATTTTATAACAATCGAATTTTAAACAAACCAAGGAAAGGATTCTTTGCTATCAATGATTCTAATCTAAATAATTAATTCATAAAAAAGTTAACACAGTGATCAGCTAAGTGGATAACAAACTTGTATGAAAATAAAATGAAATATTTTAAAATTCGCTTTTCAACACATGTTCAAAATGAGCGCCTTCGTGTTTCAAACACAATTCAATTCTTTTTCTTAACTGTTCTCCTGTAGAGTTTTGTATCACATGTGATTCAATAGTTTCTAGTGCATTTCTTACTCTTAAGATCATATCTTCTTTTGTTGTGGGAGGCCTGGCATAAACAGTGTCTTTTACATATCCCCACAAAAAGAAATCTAATGGGGAAAGGTCCGGGGAACGAGCAGGCCAAATATATGGCCCGCGGTTTCCGATCCAATTCCCTAGAAAAGTGGCATCTAAAAACTCGGAAATAATGCCTGCATTATGTGCAGGAGCACCATCTTGTTGGTAATACATAGCATCATATTCCTGTAGAGGCAGATCTTCTGTTGCAGGAACAACAATATTACGTAATATTTCCAAATAACGTTCTGCATTCAAATTTTCTTGATACACATGAAAACACAAAATCTTGTTTTTTTTCAACGCACAAAACACATTAAAACTCCAACACTCTTGGAAGTGTACTTCTCGATTCAAAAAAGGATTTTGATCGCTCCAGTAATGTGAGTTATGACGATTAAACATGCCGTTTTTACTAAACTTGGCCTCGTCTGACCAAATAATGTTCCCCAAAAAATTATCATCCTCCTGATCCCTTAACATTAGCCATTCGCAAAACTCAATTCGTCTTGGGAGGTCCCCCGGTTGCATCGAATGCACATTATGGAATGAAAATGGACGATAATGGTAGTTTTTCAGGATTTTATGGATGCAACAAATATTTAATCCTAAAGCAATTTCCGCGTCTCTCAACGAATTAGTGGGGTACGCCGTGAAATATCCAAGCACGTTAGCAATATTATCCTCATTTTCAGCAATAGGTCTTACTCTAGGTATTTGTTTCGGGGGTACAAAACTTCCAAAATTCAAACAATTTCGTTCCAGTGTTCGAATGGTATGATCACTAGGACGTGGTCTGTCTGGATATCGCTCAATGAATGTACGGCAAGCACGTGCCGCGATTCTGTCCATTTCACCATAAATCACAACTAAATTCCAAAAATCTTCATTGGTGAAACCACTGCGAGCCATTTTTCGATTACTCAAACACTTATGTTAACTTATAACAGGTGACCGATTAGTGTCACTAGATTTGTTTAAAATTCGATTGTTATAAAATCATGGCCGACTACTAAAAAGAAAATTTAAAAAAAATGTTATCAATTCAATGAAATGGAAATAAGTCAGAAATTGTTAAAGATAGGTATAGGAACATGTAATATCAAAATATGCCAATTTTGATTCTCTATCAAATTGAGTAGTAAGAAAATAGGCATTTCATTTAAAAAAACTGACTTTTTATTGTTTGAAATTTCTTAAATTTGGATCTCCATAGGTGCGGTCTTGCGCAACTTAACTTTTTTTAAAGTACACTAAAAGAAAGCCCTATTCTTCCTCTATGCACTGGCAAAAATGGGTTGCCATAACTACAACCGTTTTTAAGTAATCAATTTTCAAGGTACCGTCTGCACCCACCATTTTTTCCCTTAAAGTCAAAATATCTGAAAAACCATAAATTGTAGATATTGATATGGGGGTATCAAAAGAACTGAAATTTCACGTAGAATCCAAAAATGCAATAAAAAAATAGGGGTTTCCATTTAAAATAATGAACTTACTAGCCACTTCCGGTATTTCCGGAAGTGCCACCATTTTGAAAATATTTTACATCGATTGGGCCTTCAGAGTAACCCCTAGGTACAAATTTTCAAAAACCTACCTTTTTTACTTTCCCAGAAACGTTTAACTAAAGCTCCCAAAAAAACACCCTGTATGCAACCTCAAAAGATCAAGTATTACTTAGATACTAAAATACTAAAAAAATTTTTTTGGAAAAATAGAACATGTTCTGTATTTTAAAAATGTAATGCATTTTGCATACAATTTTGGACTGTTTACTATCGTTTACACCTTGAATTTTTTTAAAAGCAGTTTTAAAAAAATGATTTCTGAAACATTTAACCTCTAAATTGAGCTTAGGTACTCTCTGAAAATTTATAACATGAGTATAATTCGAAGATGTCATCTTTCATAAACACAGAATCATCTTCTTGTAGACAGTTACAACGATAAATATGCACAATGAGTTAGGTATTTTATGAAAGGTGTTTTGTTTACAAGAAGACGCTTTGTAAGGTGTTACATATAGGTTCAACTATAATGTCTAATATTTAATATATTTTACGAAATAATGATAGCAAAATTGAAAAATTTAAAAAAATGCGTAAGAAGTAGGTACACACGACAGAAATGAAACTTCCCTAGTTCCATTTCTGACGTAATTCGACATTTACAAAAACGAAGAAAAAATGGTAAAATATCGCTTCTTTTTGCATTTGAATTCAGTTATCTCCGTAACTATTAGCACAGACAACATATACTACAGACGGTCAATCTTATAAGGGGAAAAAGCACGCTAAGTTTTGTTTCAAATGTCCCCTTATTTAAAAACCTACTATCCCTCTATTTTGCTCCATCTATTAGCGCATACAACAATGTGTTGGTTCTTCTACAGATTTCTTTTATTGGAATGGTTTTGCAAATTGTCTAGGGAAAGAAGTATTGATACTTTATTGTTAGAAAGCTGTCCCACAAGAAATCCCCATATTTACATCTGGGCGAAGTTCTGATAATCTTTCTTTGCAGGTATACATATAAAGCAAATACCACTTCATATTCGCAATTATATATTTGATATTACTCGTTGTCTTTGGGTGCATAAGAAACGATATAACTTGCACCACTTTTCGAATTCTCGAAAAAAGTGTAATCTCCGTGTTTGTTTAAATACCTACCTACGTACTCTACTTGCCTACTTGTCTCTTCGTTTGTGGAATAAATCTTGCAATCAGCAATTTAACTTCATTTAACTTGAATAAAGAAAACCTAAACGTAAGCAATTTTCGAATGAATATTTCCCTCCTCGTTTCCCTCATATGTAATAAATCCCATATGAGGTGTGCAATTATCGGTCAATTACAGCGGTAATTGCATTGTAGAAAACGAAAGAGCCCTGCGATAATTAAACATTTCATGGGAATACACGTAACAATTTTATAAGTAGGTAAGGTGAGTTTGTAATGTTTATTCGGGAAATATTCCCCCGAATTACACTCGTGCATCAAAATAATCCTAATAATTTTTAGCGCATTTTCCAACGAAGTTGGGTGCGCTATTGCAGCCACTTTCTCTGTCCGTCCGTCTGTCCGAAGCCTTAACTACTCCTACAGTTTTCAAGATATTTAGTTCGTTCTTTTTGCATTCGGTCGCGTATCGCTCTGGCACCTGAGTCAAAGAAAATCTTGACGATTGAACTGCGCATGCGCAGGCTGCGCAATGCAAACTTTCTTATTTATGGAGATATTTCTTTGAAATTTTAACCAAAGATACTTATAGTAAAAGCAAACGTATTGCATATTGTAAATATCAGATTGCGCAGGACGCGCAACATCAACTGCGCAGTAATTGTGGCAACTTCCTTATTTATGAAGATATTTCTTTAAAATTTTAACCATATATGCCTCTAGTAATGAAAAACATAGCTCACATACGTATGGCCTTTGGGGAAGTATTGATCAATTTATGGAAAATGCGCTGAAGTTACTCGCCTTAGGGCGAAAACCTTTTTACTTGTTTATTCAAGTATCTTATCAGTAAAAACTGCGTTCGGTTATTTTCATAATTTGTTAAAAGAGCATTTTGATGCACTTGTGCAATTACCTACGAAAATTGTCACAAAGTAAAGTGTTAAGTCCGGAATCATATCACCTATTTTGAATTCAAATTTAATTTATGAATCCCGCATATCCTATCCCAATCCTGCACGAGGAGAGGGAGGGCCGGAAAGAGAGCAGTGCAGCGCGCGCGCTAGAGCAACAAAAGTCGAAGATGGCAGCCGCTTCACCTACTCCACAAACTATTAAACGTGGTTATCAGATTTCAAATCTTTTAAATACTGACGCAACCAATGCTTCACAAACGCAATCTAGTACTAGAAA